CTTCTGTTATCCTCATTTGTAAGTCGCTTTGGATAAAAGCATCTGCTAAATGACCAAATTTAAATATAATGTAAATGTAAATAACAAAACTAAATTGAAATTTTAAAACAAGCCCCAAATCAAATAAATAAGTAACACAAATAAAAGAAATCTCTTCATATAAACAAACTAAGGCTTTGTCTGTGCTCTTAACATTTAAAATCAGAGGCAACCACTGCATTTTAATCACGATCCAAACAAAGATGCTGCATGCATGCAACACGAGCAGTTTTTAATCTAAATTAGATTGTATAGTTTCAAAATCTGAAGCAAAAACAGAATGGTTTAGTGAAACTATGCATAAAAATATCTGCATGAAACAGAAACAGCAGACGAGCTGAACGAGACGCAGATGCACTCTCTGCCAGCAGGTGGCGCTTAAAGCGTTTTCTTGGCTTCCGCTGTAAACAAAGCAGCGCTGCACTTATTAAAATACCATCTACACTTTTCTAAAGACAGTCAGTTCCCCTCAGACATGCATTCGTATAAACTCCTGCCCCTAAATGAATCGCGATTTGTTTAGCATCTCAACCGATTTGAATCCTCACATTTGAATTTATTTTCAACTGGCTCGCGGTTAATCTTCACATCCCTAATTAAAAATAATATAATTATAAATAAATCTCCTGTGTCTCTCTGTCTCCAGGCTCAGGTGTATCTGGGTGTGGTTTTGTCTCAGCGTCCGGACTGTGATGAGAAGAAGTGCGTTCATTATTTCAGGATGGCGGCTGAGAGCGGGGTAACGTGCCTCTCCTCTTCATATACTCAAACGCTTTGAATGTTTTAAACGACAGCGATGTGAGGTCTGAAGATGCTGTGTTGACGTGCAGGACACCGCGGCTCTCGTGTGTCTGGCTCAGTGCTACGAGACGGGTTTCGGCGTGTCTCCGTGTGTCCAAACCGCCGTCAGTCTGTATCATCAGGCAGCAGCCAGAGGAAACCAGCAGGCCAGAGACGTTCTGAGAGACAGACACAGCCGAGACGGTCAGACACTCACGCACACACACTCACACTCTCTCTCACTCACACACACTCACACACACACTCTCTCACACACACACACACACACGCACACACTCACTCTCTCACTCACTCACTCACACACACGCTCACACGCACTCACACGCATGCACGCACAGACACTCTCACACTCACACACTAGACATATCATCGCTGTCCGATGAAAAACACATATTTGGCAGTCTTGATTAGTGTAATTGATACAGTACCTTGAAAAATACTGATATTCTACACCTCAGGGAATTTAATTTCCACTTTAAGATGAAACACTGCCATTTATCATCGTTTATTTGGGCGAGCAGGATATATTTATGGGCAGGGATTGAAATTAACTTTTTCTACTCACCAGCCAATTTGGCTACTACATTTTTAAGTTACCGGCCATTCATAACTTCTACTAGCCAAAAAACCCCCGAAATAAACCAACAGCTTGAGTCTGTCTACACTGGGCGTGACAAAGCGACCGTTGCAAATCATTTTGTGTCAGTACCAAGGGTGTGCGATATTGACAAAAAATAATATCTCAATATTTTCTGGGATTTTATTGATAGATAATTAGACAATATTTTGCTGAGTGTGTTATTGTGCTGATATCTT